TGTGTGTGTGTGTGTGTGTGTGTGTGTGTGTGTGTGTGTGTGAGCGCGCGCGCATTATATAGTATACCCCTTCTATATAAACTCGAGTAGCAAGAATAGTTCAGTAGAAGTAGAATTTTACCGGAAAAAAATTATAAATCAGCATTTCTTTTCATGACAGTCTCGAAAGGCTATCAGAAAAGAAATGCGTATGTTTGAGATTTGTGAAGAAAATATGCGAAAAAAATCGTATAGTTGCAAAAAGCACATTTTTTGCTTATAAAACGGAAAATATTGATTGTATGAAAAAAAATAGTATAAAAATTATAGGTATTCAAAAGAACTACAAAATGAGACATGGAACATTAAAATCGATCTATTAGATCAGTAGAAAAAAAATAAAAAACACCGAAAAATTTTTTTCACTCGCTCTGTTCATTGAGATTTAAACGCAAAGTTTTGAAATTCTCGGTAAATGTAGTCCTTGTAATGATAAACAAATCTAGCCCTGAACAAGCCTGAAATGTTCATTAGTTTTTGCAAAAAACCAAGTTTTGTTCACTAAAAACCTGTCTGCGGATAATTTCTTCATCTTTAAGCAGTCGCACAGCAATTTATAGGAGCAATTTTTCTTCTTCGAGAGTTGCACTATCACGTATATTTAACAACAAAACGATTTTTTTTAGTTAAACTATTATAAAACGACTTTAAAAAATATGTATGTAAAAAGTGGGTATTTTTTTCCGTATAAAAAAATATTGTGTGGAAATAATTTTGTGTGTGAATATACATCATATCAAATAGCCGTATAAAGCATTCGACATCTGACATTTTTCTACAAATTAAAAAAAAAAGATTACCCTCCGATTATTAGAAGTCGAGATAACAATTTTTTTCAAAAAAATCACTGTGGCTCTAATTTTTAAAATTAAGAGTTCCGCGTTTGGCACTAATTTGTCAAGAAAGAATTGAATTTGCTGTTAAAAAATTCTCCAATTTTTTGCTGCCGAAAAAGTTTGTTTAAAACCATTGGAAAGTTGAAGAACGCGAGCGAGGCAGTGCGCCGGGCGGAGTGAGGGAAGCCTGCGCGCAGTCGAGTAGGGAAGATCGGGCTGTTCGACGATTCGCGCATATCTGATTTCGTGCATTAAAATTTGCTAAATTTACATTTTCTCAGCAATAAATTAACGTGGACACATGATTTTTTTTAACTTGAGGTAGCTCGATGAGATATAAACAAATAGCTTAACCAAATATTTCGCAAAGTATAATAATTGTAATCCTGAAATTTTTAGTTCTTTGTTTCTTAAATTTTTATTTTTTCGGTGTATCACCATAAAATCACGTTTAAGTATGGAGTGCATGTCTGATTAACAAATTCAAGTCATAATTTTGTACTAATAATTCCATACATTTAATTGTCCAATTGGACACTTTTTACAGCATATTAAATAAAAAAACATAACTAATGTGACTTAAATTTGTTAATCAGACATGCATTCCATATTCAAACGTGATTTTTTTAGTAATAAACTGAAAAAATAAAAATTAAAAAAAAAAATTTTCTAAACTAAAAATTTCATGGTTGCAATTCGAGATTTTTTAAACAGTAAATTCAATTCTTCCTTAACAAAATTAGTACCAGACGGAACTCTTAATTTTAAAAATTAGAGCCACAGTGATTTAAAACAAAAAATTTTTATCTCGGCTCCTAATAATCAGAGGATAATTTTTTTTTAATTCATAGAAAAATGTCAAATTTCGAATGCTTCATACAACTACGAGTATTTGATATAATGCATTAACGGAATTATTTTCATTTTTTTATATGGAAAAAGATATCCATTTTTTAAAATCGTTTTATAATAATTTAACTAAAAAAAATCGTTTTGTTATTAAATGTACGTGATAGTGCAATTCTCGAAGAAGAAAAATCCCTTAAAATATCCCTTAAATCTCCTGTAAATTGCTGTGCAATTGCTCAAAGATGAAGAAATTATCCGCAGACAGGTTTTTAGTGAACAAATGGTTTTTTGCAAAAACTACATGACTGAACATTTCAGACTTGTTCAGGGCTAGATTTGTTCATCATTACGAGGGCTACATTTACTGAGAATTTCAAATTTTGCGTTTAAATCTCAATAAACAGAGAGTGAGTGAAAAAAAAGATTTTTTTCGGTTAGATTAGGTTTTTTTATATTTTTTCTATTGAACTAATAGATCGATGTTAATGTTTCACGTCCCATTTTGTAGTTATTTCGAATACCTACAATTTTTATACTATTTTTTTTCATACAATCAATATTTTACAAGCGAAAAACGTACATTTTGCAATTATTCGATTTTTTTCGCATATTTTCTTCACAAATTTCAAACATATGCATTTCTTTTCTGATGGCCTTTCGAGACTGTCCTGAAAAGAAATGCTGGTTTATAATTTTTTTCCGGTAAAATTTCTACTTAACTATTCTTCTTGCTACTCGAGTTTATAAAGAAGGCGTATACTATATAACACACACATGAAAAATCGTAAACAATTAAATATCTCGTAAACTGTTGCGTTTTAACATAATTTATACTATTCTGGATTAATGTGAGAGGTAAACTATTACTACAATTTATTAAAACTTATATGTTATTTAGAATGCCCCCTGCTCCTTATTGATGCCTAGGGCCGTCGAGCGCCCGAGATTGCCGAGAAAACATTTTCAGTCGCTTGAAACAAGCTAGAAGGAGCTCTCGACTTTACTCTCGGCGCGCCGCAAACAAGCACACAGACATGGGCTCGTGCTTATTGTGTGTAGCGCCACACCACGATAAATGGCCGAACTTATAGGCGTGGAAAAGTGACGATTTGACGACGAAATTTATGTTGCGTGTCATTTCGTTATTATTTGCTTAATTGTGAAAATGTGACTTATCTCGTACTCATCAAAGTCGTAATTATCAATGAAAACAAAAGTTATGTTGGAATTTTATCTAAAAGCGTATATTTCACTCATTTCAACAGTCGGACCGTGTGTTTCTACCTGAATATAGGCTCATTTTACGTGCTTTTTACGATCATTTACTGACTGTCAAGGGAGGAAAGAAAGTTTTCATCGATTTACAAATATTTTAAAGTGATCTCGTCATTTCATTTCATCTACATTATCTTTATTTAAAAATGGCACGCAAGATAAATTAACGTGTTATTCCTCGCTTCTGACGTCACGATTCCAACATGGCCGCGGCGACTAGTCAGGAGCCTTAAGCACGAAATTCGAACGTATGCTTTTAAGCATGCCTTTCAATTCAAACAATTTTCCGACTCCTTTCAATCCAACTCATTTTTTGTCTTATGATGGTAATTTTCACATCTTTTAACTGCACAATGCATTTTGAATAAAATT